GCCGTCGAGGATTTGCCTTACTGTCGAGGGCCCATAAAGCTCCGATTCAACCCAGCACAAGTCAATACCACTGTTTTCCACATATGCGCCGATGGTTTTCAACATGGTCATGCATATGTGCAGTTCGCCCGGGCGAAGTATGATGTGATTCAGAACAGTTCGATCCATTTGTAGCTTCTTTGCGGGCAAATGCAGTCCCATGTCAAGGGATATGACTGTCTTTCTTTCTGGACCCACAACCTGCGTGCTTATCGTTTGTGCATTCATGAGAACTATGAGCAAAGTATTCCATTCATGGGCTGGGGCTGCGATCAAGGGGGGTGCACCTACGCGTGTTGCAGGAATAGCTTCGTTAACTAAAGAATGATAAGCGGACCATACTGGGACTCATTCTTTCTGGTGGACCACACTCTGACTCTCATCATCTGACGTTTCATTACAACTACTTTCCTCTCTTGTAAGGGTTCGTGCCAGCAACCAGGCAAAGTCATCTTGGCTTACAGTGATTAGAATTTCATGCTCAGCAAAGAGACCAAAGGAAGGATGAAGTGGGGTTGGTGGTTTCTTAGACGGCTCGGGGCATTCCAGTAATTCTGTAAGAGACTTTGGAAGCTCTTTTGTTGAGCAACTGAGGTCTGATGAGTTGTCCAGCCTACAAATATATTAAAATAAATAAATTTGCACATACATTTGTTGATTCCCAGTTTTATTTGGCCGGTATTTTGTTATACGACATATTTTGACCAATCATGCACCAGTTGGAACATTAGTCATGGCATTTGCAAAAAAGTGATGTCCTACTTGTTATAGTTTCTAGGAATTCATGTCATACCATACAAAGTGCAATGTCGTCCGCAAAAGTTGCAGTGATTCGTATCTGAGTTTTTTAAAGCTGGAAACTGGAGACAAGGTAGGTATTTTTTAAGTTGATAAACAAGTAGAGCCGAATACAGAGAGCCTATTGGTTTCACTGATTTGCTGTCAACTGTCTAATATCAATGACAGCAAACATTAAGTCCGGCTTTTCGTCATCTGGTTCTGTCCTCTGCTAGATTGCCATGGCTGTACCATGTAATGTGCGCTTCCCATCATAGGTATCTTCAGCGAAGTCAACATTGTCGATAGCAAAGAACAAGTGTCTACCCTTCACTATGTTTGGGGGAAGATACATTCCAACGCACTGTTCCATATGCTGAAGAACATGTGCCTCTATCCGCGATTCCACCCTGAGCATTCGGTCCTTGGATTATCCATCTGTAGAAGAAGTACAGTTCCTCTGGGCAATTATCCTTTGATAATGTTTCCAGTGAGCCAGTGAATACCAACTTTTAACAGTTGTTGATGGACTTCCGAAGGAGTACAGCAGCATAATACAAGGTTTTCATGTTGCTTGTACAATCTTTATTAGCAGTTTAAGATAACTGAATGGCAACATCTCTTGCTTCTTTGATGCTTACCCTCTCTGATTCATTTACACGTCTGGGCTTATAGAACTCAGCATTTTCTATTTCGGCCTGGATAAGTTTATTTATAGCCTTACGACTGCATGTCTTCGCTTTCACATTATGTTCGTGCCAGATGGTGTCGTATGCAGCGTGTAGTTGCGACAAATTCATTATCTTGCCACTCTTCAGAGCCAGCTCTGCCATGGTTAACTCTATCTTGGCTGCTACTTCACTTGCTTGCTTGATGTTTGATGTGGTCGAGTGTTTACGAAGCGCATTTGTGACATATTTAATCCAGCAGTTTTTGTAATATTTGATGTCAATTGCATGAACATCTGTACTGTCAACTGCAGTCGAGAGTTCGACATGGAACTTCTCATATCTTTCTTTCTTCACGGTAGCATCCAGAGAACTACCTGCAGACAATGTACTGACAGTGTGTAGTGGCTGGCGATATCGTCCCTTACCGTCACAGAAAAAAACACACATCTCGATTGTATGGCGATATCTTCGAACGTGTTAGTGGCTGTTTAGCTTCCAATGACAAATCACATGATTTTCGCCTTGCCTCATTCGGACCACACAGTTTTCTTTCATACCTTTCTTTAGCTCTTTTTATCATGCCTGAATGTGCTGTTTCTTGATAACTAGTTCTATGCCATGATACTAGTTCCACTAGTTCTTCAAATGGAAAGCCTTTAAAAAAGGACTGCACCTCGGCGAACTTCACATCTCCATAATGAGATCTTTCCTGAATTGCATCGAATAGTTTTTTTGCGTGAAACGGTTTTTTTTTTACAAGTTCCTCGTCTGTTTGTGTCTAGCAGATACTGTACAATTTAAAAGTAATACCTGTATTGCGAGGAAACTCCATAGCCATTCTCGCTACATTCTATGTAAGTAAAGATGGCGGACCTCTATTCTGATTATAACTACTGCTGACAAGAAATAATGAAAACACGGCCCAGGCCCGCTCCCACGTGTGCACCACAGGAAATCCAATGCTCTGATTTATTTTTTGCTGAAAATAAAGTCACACCTCAGTTCTGTGGTTGTAGATTGTTATTAAGTGCACCATTCTAAAAACTCTTACTTTATAAACATGTTTGAATGCATAGGTGTTATCTACTAACCATACTTTATACCTCATTCTTTTGTAATGTTTTATGCCCCTCAGGGCAGCTTTTGTATCAGCCTCGTTTTCATGCTAGCAAGGTCACGTGATAACCCTTACAAAATAATCACATTTTATTGCACAGATGATATCCACCTGCATTACATTTGTCAATCTCTACCTTCATTACGAGAAGTTTAAGCGATACCAGTGTAGCAATTGGGTGAGCCTCGTTTTCGTACTACCTTGGCCACGTGACCCCAATAACCTCTTAAAATCGTATGCTCATATTGAAAACATTGATTTGCACAAATGTGGTGATTTTGATACAGTTTT